TATATTTTTTCATTCATTGCTCTTCTGGAAGTAAGTAAGTAAGTAAGTTACTTTATTGAGTCTTCTTCTTTTCGATGGTACATTTAAATACAAAGTGAACGATTAACATGAATTGAGACTGTTAGAACTATTGTTGTCTTATTCTAACGTACAATGAAAGTGTATAATATGCTACATGCGAATTGTGAAATCATTACACAAAATGTAAACAATGAATGAAGTATATAAGGCTTGCTCCCGGCCTCAACTGTAACTAACAGTGCTAATGACTGTGTACAATAAATAAATAATTAACAAAATCTTAAAACTAGTTAACAAAATATGACATCAAAACGGAGTGACAGTCAGTGCTCTTACACAGAATGTGTAATTATACATAAAAATTTCTTATTCTTTGAATATCACAGTAAGTTCTCAGCTAATAAATCGAATTCTCATAAAGAGAGATCTACAGTATAGGCTGCTTAAAAGTAAAAGTGTATATATTTTGTAACAAATAATGAATTATTATAATTAACTAATTTTACTGATTAACCTCTGTGGGTTCCAGGTACTGATTTAATGTAGAAGCGTGGTAAGGTATAGTCATCTGCGACATCTTCAGTAGGTTCGTTGAGAATACCCACTGTAGACAGATATGACGAATCTGACCAGGATATATTTTTCTCGATTTCGTGGATTTCGCTTACAATATGGTTTTCGTGAGTAGCCAATTTCTCTACAAACTTCCTTTGAAGTTGTTGGGCGTACTTACAAAATGGCACAACGTTAGAGATTTTGTATATGTAAGTATTTGAGAATTTTTTGTGATGAGATTGATAATATTTGTTTGTGCATTTTCTTAAGACCTTTCTTTCCAGAATTTCCAATTCGTTGGCAACTATTGGGGAAATAGGAAACCAGATTGGAAATGCGTATGTTAGGATAGATCTAATTGCCACCTTATATAGGAGCAGCTTGGTGTTTTGAGGTAAATAATTGCTGTTAAGGATGTTTGAAAAACTCGCTAATATACCTTTAACTTTTTGCATGATGGAACGAGCATGGTCGTTGAATTTTAAGAGATGATTGAATGTTACACCAAGGTACTTTAAGGATGTGCTGAAAGGAATTTCTACTCCTTCTAAAGACAATTTTAATTGCTTGCTTTCTGGTACAACTTTTCGTGGGCATTTGCCCGACGCATTACGTATGCATATGGCTACCGATTTAGCGGCATTTATTTTAATACCCCATTGTTTATAGAAGTTGTTGATTATGTGTAGGTGTTCTGAAGCAACACTCAGGGCAATGGCTGGCGAAGGATTATGTGCGTAGATTATGCAATCATCTGCATACAGGATTGCTTTGGAATGTTGATACATGTGTGGAAAGTCATGAAGAAACAGGTTAAAAAGGTATGGTGCCAAGATACTACCTTGAGGAACGCCGCTATTTACATGGCCCAAGGATGATGATGTATTCCGGATCTGAACCATAAATTTACGAGAATTGAAGAAACTCTTTAGCATTTTTATAATAAATGGATCTACTCCAAGTTGAATTAATTTGAACAAAATACCGAGGTGAGACACTGAGTCAAACGCTTTTTGTATATCCAATGATATTGCAACTGTGCATGATTGACTCCTTAAGTTTGTTGTTACGTCGTTATGAAACTTGAGAAGTGCGTGCTGAGTGGAATGTCCAGATTTGAAGCCAAATTGGTAGTTTGATATTGGATCAATAGTTAATTCATTGTTTAATTTTTCTTTCAGCACTACTTCCGGTATTTTACCAATATTTGACAAAAGGGAAATTGGGCGAAAGTCATCAACGTTGCAATTTGTTGTTTTCTTCTTGATGGGTATGATTTTGGCAACTTTCCATTGTTTGGGAAAGTATCCGTTGTTAATGCAATTATTGAAAAGGCACGTGAGTAAATTAATTGTGGATTCTGGAAATCTCTTGATTATAAAGTTTGAGATTTCATCAGGGCCGCTAGATTTTTTTGAATTGATGTTGAAAATAATGTTTTTTATATTTTCAGATGAAGTAAAGTGGTATGTGTCTGGATTGTGGAGAGAATTAAAATTTTCATCGAATGAATATATATGAGTTGGTGTTGAGTTGATACATGTTAATAGCGTAGAATTATGCTCATCTGAGGCAGGAAGTGTTGTTGAGTCTTCAAATATGGTGGAATAAAAATTCTTAAAATGATCTGCAATCTCGTTACTGTTTGTAATAGTGTTGTTAGCATGGTTGATCTGACGGCAGAAAGATGATTTATTGCTTCCTGTAAATCGGTATATTTCTTTAAAGGCGGACGGACTAGGTTTGATTTTTTGCAATCTATCATTAAATATTTGGGCTGTTTCTATTTTGACTAGCTCCTTTATTATTATTTTCAAGAGCTGAATTTGATTAGAAAGAATGGAGTACTCACGGCTTGTCCTGTTGCCTGAACGATGGAAGATTTTTTTGAGATTTCGTTGCCATTGATGTTTAATTTGTAGGATTTTCTTGATTTTGTCCGAGTATGGTAGGCTCCTATCCTCTATTTTAAATTTTTCGGAGTGTATTTCATGGATGTTGGAAAAATGACTCTTAAAACCGTTTAGAGTGGTATCAATCTCGTCATTGGTCAGGTTCCTATTGATGGAAGGCATTATTTGACGTGAGATAACGTCTATGTCCTGACGAAAGTTATGCCAATTAGTGTTTTTATAAGATATGAAGAATTGCGGAGGCGTCAAATCGATGTTTAAATGATCAAGTTTCAGGTCCAACTTAATGGGGAAATGATCCGAGAAAGTGGGTCTGGTGGATATAGTATAGTTAGGATTTCTACTGTTGATTAAATGGTTGCTGAGTAGGAAATGATCCAGGTAAGAGGTACCACTTGGATACGATGGGCTAGTATCGCATAACCTGATGACATCCATGGAATTATCTGATAACCAGGACCTCAAGACTCTTCCATTTGAGTTTTCGTAGGAGTCGCCCCATGTTGGACTTTTGGAGTTTAAGTCCCCTCCAAAGATGAAACCATCAAAGTTGCTAGATAACTGAAGTAATGTATTCAGATCAAGATCGAGGCGCTGTACAGGATAACTGCACGGGATATATACCGATCCCAGAAGGTATTTTTTTGTTGAATTGTTAGATGAGATTTCTATAAGTGTCGTATTAATGCCAGTGGCCGGAACGGAAACTCTCTTGAATTGAATTGAGTCCTTGATGAAAATTGCAACTCCAGTGGGAGAATTATCGTAGACAAAAGTGTATCCACTTATTTTGACACGCATGTTGGATCTGAGATGACATTCCTGGATGAATGCTATATCGATGTTATTGTGAAGTAGTGTGTTTTTTAATTCTATTTGTCGACTTCTATCCACAAGGGATCGTACATTGAAAGTAAGAAATTTTAGTGATCTATGGTCCATAATTCAATTTAACTTTATTAAGAAGCATTAAAAATTGTTTTTTTGCTTCGGTTTTTGACAAGTTTTTATATTCTGTTAGGAATATTTGAATTTCTTGCTCTAAGGTCAGCTCTTCAGGTTCCAAAAAAAGATTTGCTAGCTTAAGGAAGTCTTGAATTATTTGTGGTTTTTTGGTTGAATCTTGGGGAATAGATGTGACACTTTTAAATAAGTTTGAAAAAGTTTTTTCCGGTGAATATTTGGATGTGTTTAATGCTTTAGATACATTGTTTTGAGCTAGAGCTCTGTTTTCTAATGCTACTGCCATCTTTTTTTTCCTGTCGGAGGCATATTTTTTATAGGAGGGACATCCTCGCCAGTTGGCGGGATGACCTGTTTTTTCGCAATTAACACAGTAAGGTTCCGAGGTGTCTGTCTTGGACCTTTTACATTCTCCAGGAAGATGTTTGTCTTTGCATTTAACGCATCTGTAAGAGCAATTGCAATTACGTGCTATATGTCCGTGCCCTTGACATCTTCGGCATTGGACGAAGGTATCCCTTTTTTTGGGTTTCTCCCAGATTATGGATTGGTATTGCAGTTGGCGAATATGTGAAATTTCGCCAAACTTCTTTCCTGGCAATAAGCAAACTAAGAAAAGACCCGTATCAGTGTTGTTTTTAATTGATGTCGGTGTTCTAAATTTTGAGACACTGGCCACTGTTTCAGGAACTAACTGATCTAGTTCGTTTTTAATTGCCTCTGGTTCAGTTAGAGAGAAGAGGTTTCGGATTATCAGGGATGTCTGCTTTTGATCCTTGGGTGTGAAAGAGTATGACTGAATATTTTTTGACTTTAAAAGATCCATCATTGAGGCATGAACTTTAGAATCTGCAAAGTACAACTTACTTTTGTTTTTATTTATATTTTTAATTTTAAAATTGCACTGTGGGGATGCGGCACGTAATGACTCTACTAGAGAGTTTATGTTGACATTGTATGTAAAAATCGGTGGGCACCAGGAGATTTTTGGTTTTGGAGGAACATTGATTTCGGTTGTGGTTGGATTGCTGACAGGTGTGGAAATGTCAATGTCTGCCAATGCCCCCAAAATGCCAAATTTGTTTTGGTCCTGCGGGTTGTAGTTGGTTAATTTCTCAGCCAGATCCGATACATTTATTGATGATATTGCACTTTCTAGGCGCAGTCTCTTTCGTTCGTTCTGTTTTGTCTTGTTTTCTTGCATACTAGTGGAGTTTGCAAAAGCCGGCAATTGTTTGGAGGTTGATGCGATCTCTTCCGTGACATCAAACTCCATGTCGGGGGGAAGAGAATCGGGATCCTCCATTGCAAAATTATGCAATTTGGAGGTCTTTTTCTTATGATTCTAACTTTTTTTAAATAATTTTTAATAGAAACTTAAAACAGCACGTCTGGTATGTTGTAGGGTTCACTAGGTTTCCTCTTCTGGAACAGAATATTAATTCTCAGGGCGTTGTTGGAATCCTGGTGAGAACGTTGTATTACTAGATGCGTGATATTGTTCGATTGTCCGCATTCACAGAAGAAATTATCGATACTATAATAGCGAAATCGATTGTTTGCCAATTTCGGCGGCAGATATTTGTTTACATTCCGGAATTAATTTCACAAGGACTGTATTTCACTTCACACGAAGCACCAGGAAAAAAACTGTAGATAAACCTGAAACTAATATATGAATACATTTATTAAGCGATTTACATATATTACAAAACATTTCAAGTTATTACAAAATATGGCATTTGAAGCAAGAACACACGTAAATGGCAATATGCTTAGACAATTTGCTGGCCAAAATGTCAGCATAATGTTGTGTGTTGATAGTGAAGCCGGCACAAACTTAATAGGTACTAGTACTGATGATCAAAAAGTTACCGTTCAGCTCTCGGATTCCGTTGGAGCATCAAAAGACGATTGGATTGAGGTAATTGGCAAAGCAATGGGATCCACAAGTGTAAAAGCTAAAGAAGTAAGTGTAGTGTTTGAGTTTTTAGACATCATTAGAGAATGGATGTACATTTTGAGTTTTTTCAGGCCATACTATTCGGTGGCGAAAACATTGATTTCGACAAAGAAGGCTACAACATGATGGTCCTGTTTATGAACAATTGCAAAGAGATTTATCGTAGCGGCTGATAAATCCATTTGTTTGACATTAACTTAAATTGAATTGAATAATTATATTAAAGTATTTAAGATTATTTTTATATGTATTGATCAAGTTTATTGCATCCGAAATATAAATTGTTTATTCTATTGCCAATACAATGTTAATAATATACGTTTATTTATTTTGATGGAATACTGCCGCCTTGTACAACTCATTAATACTGTGTGGCAAACGTTCCAAATCCTCCATGAGAGACATTTCTTCCCTAAGACTGTTCATACACATGCGTCTTAACTTTCGTATCATGGGATTAATGACTTTGGAGTTCACAATTTCATCGGCAGTAATGGTGAATGCGTCTTGTGCAGGATTATTGGGAAACTGTTGTTGAGATATTGACACGTTTTCGTTATCATCACCAAGAGTTGTGCAATGCTCACATTGTGCCGAAGGTTTTGTAACGTTAACGGTTGATTTATTACTTTGCTCACAGTTTTCGGCATCGGTTTGTATAGCATCAAACTTCTTTAGAGTCTCAGCAATATCTTCTTCTAGTTTACACTGTGATCTGACGAATTTTTTAAGGTCGTGTGAACTTCGGCGACTAATAACCGTTTTCGGCGACATTCGACTTTTCTCGCTGCCCTCAGAACCAATGCATATTCCACCAATAGTTGATCCAGTTTCATGTGTTTTGTGTTTGTCACCCGCTTTAATTTCAGTAGGTTGTGTGACACAGGCATTGGTAACATGGCATTGGCATGACGAAAGAGGAGCGTGTGTTTCGTAAGCGGAATCATTTGCACAGTAACGGTTTTTAGTCCAAGGAACAAAATTATTAGAAGGGTCTTTATAATAGCTTGAATGGAAACGATTATCACATAAGAAACGGTCGGCATCACCACCACTGGTCATTGCTCTTTCCATTTGAAGTCTTCTAAGATTGTCTTCATGACTGTTAGGATCCAACATCTTGGATTTCATTAGCATTTCTTCACGATTATGCTTGGAAAGATATCCAGCATCATGATCGTCAAATTTGTGTCTGTTCATCTTCATTGGGTTTTGAGAGCAAAACAATGAGTACTCCTTATAAAAAGAAAGAAACTAAATGCTGTTTTCATGTTTGGCTTCATTTTGGTAAATTTGTGTCAGTTACTTACTTGCTTTAATTTAGGATTATCGTACATGTATTGAGAAAATTTATTAAATTCCCTTCCCTCTTCGTGCATTCTACGATGTTCTGTACGTGTTTAAACAATTTTTTTATTTTTTATTCTAATTGTTCTATTTTTACAAACGATATTGACAATGATCAGAAAATATATTTAAATAAATTTCCTTTTTAAAGATTAAAATATCTATGCCGGGTATGATAATTTTTTTATTTTTATACCCTCCACCTTGGAAAGGAGGGTATATTAACTTCGTCATTCCGTTCGTAACATCCCTAAATATTCATCGTAGACCCTAAAAAGTAAATATATTCATAATCAGCATAAAATTCTAAGTCTATTTAACGCGCTCCGACTGTCTGTCTGTATGTTGAAATTACGATACAGCCCACATTATTTGACGTAGAGCGTCAAAATTTAGCAGAACAATTTGTATTGTGCCTAGTATAGTTGGTATTGAAAATGAGATATATATCGGTCCACGTTTTGGCATAGCCCCCATATAACGGTACCTTTCGATATTCGGTATTTTGTTGATTTTTGCCACTTTTTCTAGGGATTTGTGTAAAAATTGATTTTTGTAGGTTATAATGAGTTCTACCTCGTGTGGCGAAACATTGTATGTAAGAGGTCCACGTTTTGGCATAGCCCCCATACAAGGGTACCTTCCGTTATATATATAATAGTACCTGCCGATATTCGATATTTTGATAAAAGTTGGCATTTGTTCTGTTCCAGTACTGCAAGAATGTAAAAGTTTTTACAATGATAACCGATTTTCTCTTTACGATATCGGAAAAAACTGCAACACTAGCAGATTCTTGCAGGTTCTGGAACAGACCAATTTTTAGTTCATAATGGGTTCTGGACCCGTGGCAGAACATCGAATATTCAGTTCCACGATTTCCTATAGCGCATATAACGATACGCACCGATATTCTGTATTTTGATAATCCTAGTCACATTTACCCATAAAATTGTTTAAAATTTGGTATTTTAGAAGATTTGATAGATGCCAATACTTGAAGAATAAAATTGTTTATAGAGGTTCCCGTTTTGGAATGGCCCCATATAACGGCCACACTCACTTTACGGTTTTTTGATAAGTTTAACTGCATTATGCAAAAGGTCTTACTGGTATATGAAGCTCCCATATATATTTTCGGCCCATTTCACAAATTTGATGCACCAAACTCGGTATGTACCTCCAATTTCAATGAAATATGGAATGTGTAACGGAATTTAAAAGAAACATACATTTGGCGAATTATATTGAAATCAATTCAGATTTAGATATAGCTCCCATATATATTTTCGGCCGATTTAACATATTTGATGCACCAAACACGATGCGTATGTCCGATTCCAATGAAACTCGTCGTGAGTGATTAAATTTGGTACAAAAAAAATTTTTCAAATTATATTCAAATCGGTTCGGATATGGATATCTATTTTCGGGCGAGTTTTCATGTTTGATGCACCCAACGCGATTCCAATAAAATTCGGACAGAAAGACCAAATTTAATACCAAAAAAATTTGACAAATAATATTGAAATCGGTTGAGGTTTGGGTATAGCTCTCATATATACCGGGTGAGATAAAAAACTGCAACCAACTTCAGACTGTGGTCATTTCTAAACCACTTTCTAAGCCACTTATTCCAGTGACAGCTAATCATATTGTTTACAAGCGTTTGGTAAGAATTTTTCAGAAAAAAAAGTTATTCGTGATGGAATTTAAGCGTGATAGTGTGATTTCTTTATATTTGGCTGGAAAATAACAAGTGGCTATCATTAGAGCCCTCCAGCATTTAAATGTGAATAAATCTTTTGTGTCTCGTACCATCTCTCGTTACCGTGATACTGATAGCGTAGGCCGACGTCAAGGAAGTGGACGGAAGAAAACAGCAACATCAGCAGAAATGGTTCGAAAAGTAAAGAAGCGACTTGATCGAAAAATAGATTGTGAGCTGAACATATCGCAATATTCCATTCGGCAAATAATGAAAAATGAGCTCGGGAAAGGTAAAGCCATTGAAATTCCAAAAAGTGCAAGAACTCACACCACAACAGAAAGAAACCAGTAAAGAAAGTCCTAAAGTCATGTCACCACTTTGCTAATTTAGTAAAGCTCCACATAACAATTAAAAGTTTTTATGGGAGAATTCAATCATACACGCTATGATTATGATTATAATTTAAAGTTCAAGAGACTAAATATGCCGAAGCTTTTGTATCTTTTAAATTCGGACTTGTATTGCCCATTTGATATATATGGGAGCTATATCCAAATCTGAACCGATCTTGATAAAATTTGGATAAGATATTTCTGAGCTGTATTTCGTATATTTCCCTGAATATCGTTGTTACGGAGTGCATATTACGGCTGTGGGTAACAAATATAACAAATCGGGTGAACAGTATATATGGGAGTTATAACTATATCTGAACCGATCTTCACCAAATTTGACATACTAGCTTCTAGACTCAATTCGGTCGTAAGTGCCAAATTTCATATTAGACGTTTGGTGAACAATAAAATGTAAATCGGAGATATATCCAAATCCGAACCGATCTTGATAAAATTTAGCAAAGGTATTTCTGAGCTGTATTTGATATATTTCCCCAAATATTGTTGTTACAGAGTGCATATTACGGCTGCGGAGGACTAAAATAACAAATCGGATGAACAATATAATTGGAGCTATAGCTATATCTGAAGCGATTTCGATCAAATTCGGCATTCCATACTATTCGGGCTGATATTACACGTTTGGTGCACAATAAAAGGCAAATCGGACGAAGATATATATGGGAGCCATATCTAAATTTTTACCGATTATCTCAAATTTCAATAGGATTCGTCCTTGGGCCAAACAAATGATTTGTGCAAAATTTCATCTGGATCTGCTAATAAATGCGAACTGTACTATGTTCACAAAAATACATGGACAGACTAACGGACGGACAGATAGACGGACGGACGGACATGCATAAATCGACTCAGAATATGATTCTATGCAGATCATCAAAAGGAACTATGGATCTATCTCGTTTCCTTTTACATGTTACAAATAAATGCACAAAGACATAATACCCTGACCACCTTGTGGTGTAGGGTATAAATAAACTCAAATGAGCTAAAGAGTTGCTTCGCTTGGCCGAAAGTGGTGAAAACATTCGTTGTCCAGTAGTTTGTAAACAAACAAAATAATAGTGTTTACTTGCCAAAGAGGTCAGGTGAAAATGTGCACCTTCGATTGGCCACCAGAAGTCAAGCGCAGGCCATGGTGATGGTGTGGGCCGCTATAACTGCCGATGGTCGCTCTTCGCTCGTATTAATCGACCTTGGCATCAGAATAAATGCCGAATATTATCGCGAAAATATTTTGGAGGGTGTATTAAAGCCTCGAGCACGCAAATATTTTGGTCGACGACCTTGGACATTCCAACAGGACTCAGTAGTTACAAAATGAGGTTCCTCGCTTTATTTCCAGCTCAAAATGGCCACCAAAATCTCCGGATACAAATTCATTGGACTATTGTGTCTGGAGTATTTTGGAAAGCAAGGTTGGCACTAAAAGTGTCGATCACCTCTAGCAAGCGCTTCGCCGCAGCTCCTTTGGTATTAGGCTAACGGTAAAAAACTACACAACATTTTAATTGGCGACACGATTATTATGGGGAAGTGCTACCTCGAGTTCACTAATTGCAAAAGAAATGCCATTCAACTTCAAAAGATTGCAATTTCCTGCATCCTAGGCTTTTGCTATGAAATTAATAAATACGAAGGACAAACTCTTCGTGTATGCGGACTAAATTTGACATGTTCCTGCTTTTTTCATGGTCAGCTGTTCCTGGCATATTCACGCGTTGGTAGACCGAGCTATTTGTTTGTTTACGCATTAAAGTATTCCAATATTTTTTTAATTTTTGAATTTATTATTTATATTTTTTTAAACCAACAAATATTCGAATATAAAATTTTGAATGCATATAAAATCAAAAGGAGTAGTGAAGCGCATCGGGTTCATTTAGTAATATATAAAATGAATCGTAATATATAAAACGAATCGTGTAACTAATATAGTCAAAACTTGGTCCATTTAAATAAATATTTATATTAAACGGGTTGTTCATAGAAAATAGGTCCCTAATGCTTCTCGTACATCCAGAGTCTGCAAAAATCTACTAGTTTTGCAATTTTTTTTTCGACGTCATAAAGGGAAAATCGGTTAGGGTAGTAAAAATCTTTGCATTCTTGCAGTTATTGAACAGACCAAATCATAACTGGCATAAAATGCGAAATTATTTCTCAGTTCTCTTTAAGCGCCGCTCATTGCAATATTTGTATCAAGATTAGATTTAATGTGGTAAGTTGTAACATGTGGGTCCTATCTTTTGGTACGTCTCCTGAAGAGGGTTCCCTTATTTATATTTGTAAATAAGAGTATACTTCTATCGGTTATTCGACTGAAACGTTTAAACTTATTTTCTGAATTTGTTACAATTTATTAGGGTGTTGATTTATAAACACAATTTTTTGAGCAAACATCTTTAACGTTGTTAATCAAAATGAAAATTTTTATGGGTATTGCATTTTTTACTTTTTGCAATATTTCATTGGAGTGAATCAAAGCTTTTTTAATCTATCAAGTGTTTCTGAGAAGGCCAAAATTTGTTTACACAAAAAAAAAACAATTTTTTGTTAATAAATTTAATTTAATATTTTTGTTAATAAATTTACAATGTCACCGATTCCATATAATTTTCAAATGCCCGAACGATCTTGGAATGATCTGGACCCAATTGAGTATCGGCCATCACTGCCAAACGATAGCGGTCACCGAAATGATGTACATTTAGAGATAGACCTAAAAGAATTGGGAAAACAATAATAATATTTTAAAAGAAAATCGACGATAAAATTAATTAAGAGGGCAGCTACTTACAGGTCTTCGACTGAGGTGGTCTAAACAGCAAGACATCTTCCACAGTTTGTCCCCATGTTGTTTCAAAATCTGAACTCTCACCGTATATTTCTGTGATCGTTATGGGGAAATTGGATGAGAAATAATTGATGCATATTTTGGTTAGAACTCTGGGGAAGATGGAGGTTAACATGTCATATTTGGTTTGCCCCATCGAGG